GTACGCTTAAACTTACGTTTCAAATCTCATTATTTCGCATGGTTTGATTTTCGAGCAACTGGAGAAGATGGTGTTTTCCATTCTCCACGGTGGCTTGACTCTTCCTGAGTCACGTGACCTTGTTCCATCCGTCTATTCAAACAATAAGGGTCCCACCGACACTGATTTATTTTTTAGTTCAAATATAAGAGTGTATTTATTATTTAATAAATTATTTGTGTTTTAGATAACATATGTATAGCCACCCTAGTGGCAAGCGAGCGTGCGTTGAGGCATATCAGTACCAAGGCGTGGATTCGATCTTGTCGCTTTGCAATATTTTTTTCTTCATGTTTTCTCTCTTTTATTGATCCAGTACAGTGCATCCTCACGTACCTACTATGCACCCTGTCATGCCTCACCATCAAATCTGGTCCAATGATCCCAGATCTGCAAACGCAGGATGGACTTCTTGGAGCCTCCCATTTTCTTCCTCTCCTTATTATTTTCTTTTCTTTTAATTGTTTATTTTAATTTTAATTAAAACACCAAAAACATTAATTTAGGTTAATTAATTAGGTTAGTTTTAATCATTTTTTAAATTTAATTAATTTATTTTCTTAATTAAAATTAAGTAGATTTTAAGGTTTTTGTAATTTAATTAATTGAATTTTTTCAGTAAAATTAATTAGTTTCTTAGGGTTTTTTACATAAATTCATCACAAACCTTTTTGTCATAAAAATACCAAAGAACTATTTCATTTTTTATATTTATTCATATTTTTAGATCACCCGTACTTTCGCGAATATAGTTTATTATTCTCGCATTTTTTATTATTGTAATTGTTTCCCGGTTTGTAATAGTAATTAGGGTTTACTTTCCGCATCTCTATCATGTAATTCTCCCAAAGTATTGTAATAGTCTAGGGCTTTATTTTCCGCACTTTACTTTTTTTCATTACTATATTATTACTGTTAGTAATTAGTTCTATATGGAAAGATTAAAAACAAAGGATAGTCAACCCTAATCAAAGATAAGAATAACTGAAAATAAATCACTCGCACACTTGCACCTCTAGGGTTATCTCCCTTGTTGCCTCGGGGGAAAAAACAGTCATATCCCTCGAAAGCGGGGATGCTTTAGCACAGTCCCTCGAAAACAAAGATCGTAGTCCCTCAATGACCCTTTCGATGTTGCCTTCGGTAAACGATTTAGTCCCTTATGATAATTGCTAAAGTGTCCTTACCAATTGCCTTCGATGACTGTACGATGACCCACACTTGTCCCTTCACATCTAATAGATGGGGCTACCTACCAACTAATGGTATGGATAGTACTATCTCTAAAGGAGAAGGAAAATAACAAGAACGATCTTTAGTGGGTAAGAACTCCTAATTGCTTGCTCACAACTTTTCTCACAAACATTTTTCACACTACTTTTTAAACAAATATTTTCAAAACACTTTGTACACATTCTTGAGGACTGATACAGGAATCATTACAAAGTTAGCCTTACATTGGCTTTTTTCAAAATATTTTCAAATCACACACACAAAGTAAGATTTCAAAAGTGATCTAGCAATTAAGAGCTCGTAGATAACTACGGATGAAAAGGGTGCTAACACCTTCCTTTTTCATAATCTACCCCCCGAACTCAAAATTTACCAATGGTCTTTCCTGTTCTTTGCACCCTTTCCTTATTGGATAAAAGAAAAGTCGATGGTGACTCTTGCTATCCGCAACATTTGCGATAAAATGCAAAACCAAGTCAGTTCTCCCACCGTATTACACTTTCCTTCATGGGGTTTGATACTAGAGAGTTCAGGGCTTCACTCTTTTTGAAGTTTTTGAGGTCAGTGGGTTTGCCTGATTTGCAAGAGGCTCCTAGGAAAGGTATCTCAAAAAAAATTGAATCATTCTTTTTTAATTACTATATTCACCCTCTTGACAAATGATGTTAAGGTTTTTCCGAAAATGTGTAGGTTAGTGTAAAACTCCCTTACGAGATATGGGTATACTTTATCGGGAGTCTGTGTAAAGAAATCCCTTAAGGATGCTTGACAGGTGTGGGAATATGGTTTATATCCTCTCATGAAGGTTTCTTACATGTACCATGGTTCTAAGATTCTCATTTCAAGGATCATCTTTCTGTCTTCCTCAAGCTTGTCTCTTATGGAATCAAAAATGATATCTCTCTTTTGTTGGGGTATTTTAGGTCTTTGGTTTGGGAACTTCATGATGGTAGGGATATATTAGCTCAAAAAGGAAAATGTTCTAGAAAGAGAGAATGAGATACATAAATTATGAGATGCACAATAGAGAGAGTAAAAATACAATACATATTTATAGTGTGTGTTTTGATGTATTTGGGCTTGAAATTGGATTAGGATTTGAATGAGGGGCATGATGTCCAAAAATCATGTCTAAACTTGCACATTTTAGATCTTTTAATCCGTTGATCAATCGATTAAATATCTCAATCTTTCAGTTTTTGATACGATACTCATTAATGTCCATGCATATGCCAACACATATGTGTTTCAGGCCGGCACATGCAACTCAGTTTTGAAGCCTGGAGCCTCTGAAGGTCATAGGTCGACACATGCATCTTTATAGGCCGGCACATACTGTAACTTTCAGTTTTGCTATTTTATGTGTCGACACATACGATTTTTAGGCCGACACATGTACTGTAGTTCTAAAGCAAAATGCTATTGCCATGCATAGGCCGACACATCTTCCTTTTCAGGCCGACACATACAGTTAACTTTTGACTTATGTGTCAGCACATACATTTTTCAGGTCGGCACATACTGTTTGATTGGGTCAATTTTTCAATTCTTTTTAATTCCGAAAAGGACCTCTTTGCATCCAAACTTTCACAACTATAAATACATCATTCATGCATCATTCCAGCTTGATGAAACTATAAACACATACTGCATTTTCTCTTCACCTTTAACCTCTAACCTATGCATGCACACTGATAAATCACACATAATCAACTTTTGTCGGGGTTCCATCTAGGAGAGGTTTAATAATATCCAATTAGGTTCTTGTGTAGTCGATAATATTGGGTTGATATTTGCAGAGGGGCTCATCTGGAAAAACCGTAGGTTTGTCCTCTAAGATTGTTGATAGATTTAGGGGTTTTCGTGCAAGAAATTCAAGAGAGAATTACGGCCTAGTGAAAAGTCATTAGAGATAAAGAACACAAAGGAAGTAGTGCGGGAACGACAAATCAAATTGAAGTGTCTTGTGTGCAATAGGTACAATTGATCGTGTGCAAAAGCTTTGGAGATAAAGAACGCAAAGGAAGTAGTGTGAGAACAGCGAATCAAATTGAAGTGTTTTATGTGCAATAGGTACAATTGATTGTGCGCGAAAGCTTTGGAGACAATGAATGTAAATGATTAGCAAGCTTCGATAAATCAATTGATAGCTATTATTTCTTGGTCTTGCTCAAGATCAAAAGAAGAGAAGGGGTTAAATCAACAACAAACGGTTAGGTTTTATAAGGTTGCTCTTAGAACTCTTCTCTTGTAACAACTTTTTGCATAGTAAGAAATTATCCTAATTCCAAAATTGGAATTGGAGGGAGACGTAGCCATAGCGAGGATGATTGGCGAACTTCCTATATGAATCCACGTGTCTCTTTTTCTTATCGCTTTACTTGCTTTATTTTTCATTAAGCAATTTGTCAAAAAGCATTTATTGAACGATCGACTCGTAAGAATTTTTCTGAGGCTGTTTTTGTTTTGAATTGGGTGTTGATTTGCTTATAATCACTTTTTATTATAAGTGATTTTATATATCAAACAACTCAAAGGAAATTTCTAAAAATTCGATCACACACCAAGTGTTCGACAAATTATTTTGTTCGTTATTTTTGCTAGTTACCATTGGAAATAGATTTACTAGTAACTTGCTATAAACGATTAATATTGTGTTACTTGATTGAAGTTTATAAATTTATTATTGTATTATTCATTCTATAAAGCACTTTATTTTTCATATTCGACTTCCAATAGTTAAGTTTGTATAGACGACGTTTTCGATCTATATAAAAACCTTCGGCGTACACTCTTTTCAATTACTTTTAAAATCCAAGTTTTTATTTGGAATTTTGGCTTGGTGGTCTATTCACCCCTCCTAGATAAGGCGTTGTCGCCTAACACACTTTTCATCGAAAAACAATGAATCCCGAAGACCGTATGTTCCTCGTGAATACGTCATCGCCGCTGGAACACCCTTTCGTCCTCTGCTCCCCTATTCGCACCACTGTCACTGTCGATTTTTCCCCAGATCTGATTAGTATCCCTCATTTTTCCTATTTTCGTTTTGATTTATGTTTTTATTCTAAAATAGAGAAAAGAAATAAGAAACAAGTGGAAGAAGAAGAAGAGAATAATTATTTACTCCTTATTATTGGTATTATTACCTGTAATATGTCGTAGAATTCCATTTGATTTAATGGAGTGTTGTAAATTGTTTGTTCATGAATTCATCAATATTGAATTCAACAATCAGTGACATTTTTGTCAATTCCAAAAACTCAGAGAGGATTCAAGGAATATTAAACTTAACTACTTGTTTCACACAGCATCTCTTTTATTGTTCTCTCATCTTTTATCTCTTTTGTTTCTGTTGCAGCAATTTCCTTCTGAGATTCATTAAGTTCTCCATCATGTTTTTTGGAGAAGTTCTATTGTGGACAAATGTTTGGTTGTAGAAAAAGAAAGAGAAATAATAGGAGAATTGATAGGAAACTCGTAGATTAATATAATTCCTTTATTTGAAATAATGTTATAAGGGAATGGATTTCAACATGGTCAAATAGGTTATAAAACTTAAACATCATATTAGTTACTATAAATTATCTAAAAAAACACAATATCGAAGCATCCCATAACTGTACAGAACCAAATAAACCATTCAAACGTGACATAATAGGCTTGATGAGATGTGTCTAATGGGAAAAATAACTTTACTTCCAGTTGAAGCCTTCTTTGTTCCTATCTCACAGGAATTTTTCTATATTTGTGATCAATGATGCCTTAGGTACAGCACCGATAATTGCATCTTTCTTTTCGCCATCCTTGAAGAAGATGACAGTTGGAATACTTCGAATCCCATAGCGAGTAGCAGTTGAAGGACTCTCATCAGTATTGAGTTTGTAACACTTGAACTTACCTACGTATTCCTTTGCCAGCTCGTCAATTATGGGATGCATCATTCGGCAGGGACCACACCATGGAGCCCAGAATTCAACTAACACTGGAGTTTCGGATTCGATTACGAGGGATTGCCAATTTTCATCAGTAATAGAAGCCACTGCAATATACCCAATGAAACATAAAGTTTAACTTCGCAAAGTACTTTATTAAGATATGCAACAATTCTCTGTAAACATAAAGCGGAAGATAATTAGTTACTACTACTTTCGTTACAATTTTTCAGTAATACAAAATCCTGAACTGCAAAACCTGCCATCGAGATGATAATAAATGAAGCAAAAACAAGAAAAATACAAAAGGCGTCACACTGCGACGATCCCATCAGGTGCAGTCTAAGGTAGCTGGATATACACAATAAGATATTGCACCCAGTAGATCAATACTGAATGCTCAAAAGTTAATAGATTAGTCTAGATTATTAAGAGTTGCCATAATTTATTGTCCCTATTCTCACAATGATGGTGAAAACTAACACCATAATTTTTTCTATAAAAGGTCCAGAGTGATAAGGCCATGGCTAAAACCTCCCCTTCCCTTGAAGACAAGGAGTTCCTATGAAGATTGGTATTTTGACTGATCCACATTCAAATTCTCTTTTATTTTCAAGAGTTCTAAAGGCCTTGGGTAAAAGAAACGTTGAAAGGAAAATGGAAGAAATACCCTAAGAATCGGCGAGTTTATTTTTTTTTTCAAATCTGCCAACAAAGCAACAAAAAAAATTCAAAACCCTAACTCACAATCACATAGAATCACACAACACAATGAATTACAAAAAAATCAACAGATCCAAAACAAAACCTCAACAGAAATTCGATTAAAAATCAAAACCTAACCTTCAACAGCAGTATCTCGAGCCACGCACAGGACTCTTCCGCCGCGAGGAACGAATTGACTCCGCAAACTAGTGGCGGTGAGTGGTCGTAGCTTGAGGGCGGTGTAGGGAGGAAACCTAGCAGTGATCGGACGACAGGAGAGGGAGGAAGCGAGTGTGCGTGGGTGTTGGGAAGAGCGAATAAGGGAGAAGGGTTCGAGTTGTACGGTGGCCATGGATGTAGAGAATCGCGGCTCCAGAAAGTGTTGTAATGATCTAAGAAGAAATGTGAGAGTGATGAGAGAGACAATCGGAAAAAAAACGCTATTTGGTCTTTTTTGACAAAAGGTTTTTGTTTGTTAGTGTTTTTTTTTTTGGTTCTATGTTAGTGCTGTTGGTTTCTTTGGTAACTGCATACTCCAATTAAAAACATGATCAAAAATATATTAAAAGGAGACTTTGTGCTTTAGATGGCATTTTGATTAAGTAATTGAATTTAACATCACCCCACATAAATATGTTTTTGCCTACCCTAGTGCATTTAATTCGCAAGTTTTTTATGCTAACTACTTACACTAAAGCCATCACAAAATAGTTTCATTTACAAAACATTTATTATTTTTTCATTACAATATCCTTGTTTATTAATTTTCACATTTTTCAATTATTCTATTGACTATAATAAATAAGAGTATTTTAGTAAATGATATTTCTTCTCTGCTATATTATTTGTTATAATAGATGATTTTACACCGATTAAAAAACGGTAATAAATGAATGAGAAAATAATGAATTTATCAAATTATTCTGATTAATTATTGATGTATTTAAATTAACATTAATGTTAAGTGAGAAAATAATAAATTAAGAGTATTTATTACGTGGTACAATTAGAAGATTAAATATAAAATTGCATTGATAATATAAAGTGTCAAGTATTTTGGAATAAATTTTTTTTACTAAATGTGACTGTTATTTTGAGACGGATGAACTATTAATTTTATCATTAAAATCAACACTTATAATAATTTTTTTAAGAATCGCACATAGATCAAATAAGACATTTATTATGAGATGGAGAGAGTAGCTCCTTAACGAGTAATACTTCTAAAAGAATAATATTATTACCTACAGATTACCGGATCAACCTTACATCATGACAACAATCAAAGTCGGTTTCGACTTTTTAAAAGTCCGGAACAAACAAAAAAAATAGTTTCTTAAACCATTCTTATATTAGAGGGGAAAAAATCTCTGAAAATCCAAAAATATCTTTCGGATATGCACATCCAAACGAATCCATATTGTTGTAAAAAAAAATATTTTCGAATATGCATCTTCGAATAAACTTTTTTTACGAAAAAAATTGTTTGCGGATATACATATCTGCACTGCTTTGTTTTTTTTAGTAATTAAAAGGGAATATTGATAATTAGCATTTGATTTAATTATGGATTTTTTCAAACAGTAACTTTTATGATGAGAGAGATATTTGAATCTCTCCATTTAATTTTCTTTTTAGTTTTCAATAAATTTTTAATCAATTCGTAGTGAGAGAAAGAAATTGATCTCAAGAATTTATAACATGTTCTATTGATTAAAAATTTATTAAAAACAAAAAAGTAAATTAAATGGAGAGATCCAAATATCTATCTCATCATAAACGTTATTCTTTGAAAAAACCCACCATTAAACTAAATATTAATGATCAATATTTTCCTTTTAATTACTAAAAAACACAACAGATAATATTTCATATATGTTTATCCGAAAATATTCTTTTTTGTAAAAAAAGATTTATTCGGAGATACATATCTAAAAATATATTTTTTTACAACAATGGAGATTCGTTCGGATATACATATCCGAAATTAAGTATTTTGTAGAAAAAAAGTTTGTTCAAATATACATATCTGAATTCAGGGATATTACGAGAATTTCGCCAAGAGTCCCTAAGAAGACATAAGTGTACATAAAGAAATCTCAAATAAATAGACCCCTAACAAAAAACTGAATTTTTAGAATCTTAGAGATGAGATCAAAAATATGAAGTCTTGGTTGATTCCAACAACAACAAAATTTTTAATGCGGATAAAAAGTCATCTGCAAATCATTAAAGAATTCAAAATCACAATATGATTAACTGAATTAAGAATGAGAGTCTTTTAAAGGTCTTAATTGCTCCGATTTCTAAGCAAAAGTCATCATCTCAAATAAATGAAAGTGGTGTTTTATTTTGCTTCAATTGTGAAAAATTAAGGCATCTGACTAAGAAATATAGAAGCGGATCTAAACCATGTCTTTGCCCTAATACGTAAGTTTACTTGACTGATAAGAAATTTATTATTTCTATTCTCAAAAAAATTATAAATCAAAGCACAAATGATAATAAATTTGATTTCATCATAAAAATTTGATAATAAATGAGTTAATTGTATAATAAACTTTTAAATATTTAATTATAACATATAAATAATCTCTAAAATTTATATTAAAATTAAATTATACAATTATAATAAATAACTATCAAAAATAAATATATTATAAAATTATTTTGTAATTAAAATTTGAGAAATACAAAATGCTAATTCCCACGAAAATTATATCAGAAATTCATCATGAACCTATGTAATTACTTGATTACATGTATAATTAACTAAGTTTGTCTTTTTAAAATTTATCTTTTTAAAATCTGATAATTTTTTCTATACATAAGTTCTAAAGTTATTCTAATTTAAACCTTATATTTTATATTTAATTTATATTGTCATTTATTATAAATTATGTTGTTGAATATGTTGGTTAATACTAGATGCAACGCTGAAAATGAATGAAGTGTTTATGAAAAAAATTAATAATTAAAAAATAAGAAAGAATTAAGATTCAAACCGCTAACACTAACCTTCAAGCGCCAAGACCGGTCCTCTGGGCTATGAATGAGGATTTGTTAATATATATTTTATTATTTCATTATTATAAATTCTTAACTAATACTTCTAAAATTGAGGGGTCATTATTTTTTAGGCTCTGGGTTATGGGTATGTTTGTCCTAACTTAGGGCCGGTCATGATAACTTCACAGTCAATAACAACAATTTTAGAGGAAGTAAATATTTTAGATTGACCAAAGGTCTATAAAGACCGACTTAATTGTGTGGTTTGTGCTTCATTCCTATGTGGAGAAAGATTCAAATACGAATAGTTCATTTCTATTTATTTAAGTGGATAATGTCAATTTAAGGTTAAAAGAAATAGAGAGAAAATAAGGATTCAAAAGAGAGAAAAGAGGTGAGAAACTCATTTCCATTTTTTCAGCACCAGGCTCACTAAATCGACGATCCCTGATTCGTTAGCCATCAGATCAAGCTCAAATTTGGAGGGTATGTTCGCAAGATCTATATCTAACTTTTGAACATTGGGATCTTCAAAACAAAGTTTGAGCTAAGAGATAATTGCTTCGTATTGAAATTGCAGATTTGGGTAATTTTTCAGCTTTTTGGATTCTTATTTGTAAGCTAGTTTGCATTGTGATTTGCGGTTGTTATCACTATTTTTTGAATCACTTTAAGACTCTCTTGTACCCTCAATTGATTATAGTGAAGCTATTTCTTTGATCTAGATGACTCATGGTTTTTTCTCTCATATTGAGGGGTTTTCCGCGTTAAAAATATTGGTGTTCTTTCGTGCCTTTATTCGTTCGGTTTGCCATCTTATATTTGTTTTTGATCCTCAAGGTTCCTAAAAGTGTGGAGAATTCTATATCCGCTGTGTATTATTTTATTACTTTTTTGTTAATTTTCCATCAGAGTGGCATCATAACTCTTGGTTAAGGGCTATTTTACTTGTTTGAATGATGGAGTCAAATACAAAGATCAATATAGTATTGTTGAATAATTCTAATTACCATTTATGGAAGGGCAAGATGACATACTTACTATTTGTGAATAAATTGCATTCACCGTTTTTTTTGTTTCGTAAAGCCGAATTATGTGTTTGATGAAGAATGGGAGTTTGAACATCAACAGGTATATGGTTTTATTCTAATATGTAGAAGATAATGTTTATAATCATATGGCTAATGAGACACATGCAAAAACTTTGTGGGAGAATATAGAATCCTTGTATGCCTCTAAATTATGAAATAATAAATTGTTCTTGTTGAATAGCTTCATAAGTTTGAAGTATAAGGAAAAGATTTCTATTTCATAACACTTACGTAAATTTCAAGGGCTCCTTGATCAGATGTCAGGAATGATTATTAAATTTGATGATGAACTTTTGGGACTATTTCTATTGCTATCTTTACCAGAGTCTTGGGAGACGTTTCAGGTTTCTATTACAAGTTATGATCCTAGAGGTGTTGTTTCTTTGGAAACAACTAAGGATGGTATTCTTAATGAGGAGATGGGAAGGAAGGAATAAGGTTCTTCATCTCAATCTGAGGTACTTGTCACTGAAAATAGGAGAAAAGTCAGAAAAAGGAACCTAAAGGTGGTAGAGAGAATAACAGAAGCAAGTCCAAACCACGATACAAGAATTTGGAGTGTCATTATTGTTACAAAATAGGACATGTACAAAAGTATTTTTATCAGTGGAAAAAGGGATAACAAAGGCAAGAAAGGAAATCTTAAACAAAGAGATCATTATGATGATTGTGTTACTACTGCTACTTATAATGATATTGTTATTCTATGTGATCATGAGTTAGTTAATCTTGTATCAGACGAGAACACGTGGATAGTTGACAGTGGTGCTACATTGCATGTTACACTAAGGAGGGATTTCTTCACATCTTATACTTCTGGTGACTTTGGAGTGTTAAAGATGGATAATGATGGTGTATCTAAGGTAATTGGTGTTGGTGAAGTTTGCTTGTAAACCAACATGAGAATGCAATTGTTTCTTAGAGGTGTCAAACATGCTTTAGATGTCCGCTTTAATTTGATCTATGTGCATATGATTGACAATTGTGGTTATGACAATCACTTTGGTTCTGGAAAGTGGAAACTCAACAAAGGTAACTTTGTTGTGGCTAGGGGGAGAAGTTTTCTAAATTGTATTGGACAAAAGCTTTGGTTGCTAGGGACAGTGTGAATGCTATCGACATGGAAGCATCTTTATGGCATAACGGACTTAGTCATATTAGTGAAAATGGGATGAATGTTTTGGCCAAAACGAATATTCTTCCTGGGTAAAAGAATGCATATTTGGAGAGTGTTCTTATTGCATGGCCGGTA